ATCACAGGAAGCCAGGACTGCAGGTAGGGAGCCTGCCCCTCTGAGCCACCCTCCTCCATCCGCGTCCTTAAAGACGGGATCATGGCTGGCCCGAAGCCAGCTGTGACGCCTGCATGACAGCCAGCTGGGCCTTGTCCCCTAACCGCTGGATCCCCTCGACCTTCACCTCCCTAGTAGCTGGACTCTGTCTTGCAGCACGAGTTTCGCCTGGCCAGCGGGGTGAATGCTGGGCTCATCCGCTGCTTGGCTGTCAGTCCTAATGGGCGCAGCGTTATGGCTGGCTTCTCCTCTGGTTTCATTGTGCTGCTGGACACCAGGACAGGACTCATCATGCGGGGGTGGCCTGCCCACGAGGGAGACATCCTGCAGATCAAGGTGAGATCAGCTGGGATTGGGGGGGGCTGCTTCCTGGGCATCATCGATCCTCTGAGGTTGCGCGGAGCATCCTTCTGGCAGGCGCGGTTTGGCAGGGCTTGTCTGCTCCGTCCTCTGGGCATTCCTCCATCCCTTGCTGCGTCCCTAAGAGGCTGCTCAAGCTCTCCTGCCCCATGGTTCGTGCTGCGGGCGGCTGTTCTTGGTCCAGCCTGTGTTAAACGGAGATCAGCCCTCCCAGGTGTCGGTCCCTGCCGAGCAGGTCTGCAGCACGAGCAGGGAGGAGACGTCTCCCGTGAAGAGGCGAATGTGTTGCTTTCTCCGCAGGGCGCTCGGCCCCCTGCGAGAGCGTTGCTCTAATGAGTAACTCTTGTCCATATTTACCCGCCCTCAGGGAGCAGCGCTGGGGCTCCGGTGTCCTCGACCCAAACGCAGGTTAAACAAAGTTCAGCGGCGTGGGTTGTTTACCCTCTCGCTAGCTCTGCTAATAAGCAGCTCCGGGCTTCTCCTGCCCCGTGAGAGAGCCTCCCAGTTCCTTTTCCTGAGAAGGAAAATAATTTGGCAGGTGGTTTGATGGAGAGTGAGACCACATGAGAATCTCTGTACCCACTGCAGTAGTAACATGATAAATTGGCTGTGTTGAGTATCAGGATGTTGTTGAGAAGAGACACAGCCCATCTCTCGGACGCCTTGATAACACTGCGGGAGGTTGCCAGCTACCAGGGAGTCCTGTGGTGTCACCTGGATGTCTTGTTAACACTGCTCAGTACCATCAGTTGCGTGGAAATGGCTGGGAGTGTCCCAAGGGATTGCCCTGCCCCTGTTGGACTGCTGGCAGCTGCCCGCTAATCTCATCTGCGGGTTGAGATTGGGAGTTTTTACTGCAGCGGTGTTGGTTCACTGGCCTTTCCTCTCCTGCAGGCTGCAGAGGGCAACATGCTGATCAGCTCCTCTTCGGATCATTCCCTGACTGTCTGGAAGGAACTGGAGCAGAAACCTTTGCACCACTACAAATCTGCGTCTGAACCCATCCACGCCTTTGACCTCTACGGCAACGAAGTGGTCGCTGGCACTGTGGCCAACAAGATCGGCGTCTACTCCATGCTGGAGTCCTCGGCCCTGCCCACCAGCACGACCAAGCTGAGCTCGGAGAATTTTCGGGGTACACTGACCAGCCTGGCGGTGCTGCCCACCAAATGCCATCTCCTGCTGGGCTCGGACAACGGCGTCATACGCCTCCTGGCGTAGCGACCCCGGCCCAGGAGCGGGTGGCTGTCCCACGGTGCGGGTGGTAGAGCTGAGAGCCGGCAGCGTCGCTTACAGAGGGGGCAGAGTTAGATGTTTCTGAAGAGAGGATGCAGGGGGGAGGTGCGCTTGTTAGTGAGCGCTCGGTAAAGCATCTCTAACCTCTTTCTGTATCTTTAAAAAGAAAAAAGCCATAACTGAGAAACCTCCGCTGCTGCTGGGAGAAATACTGAGCGTTGTAGGTCACCGTCACCCCTGCAGAGAGGCCTGGAGCTTTCTGTACCACGTGTGCCTGATCCCCAGGGGACTGTGAGCTGCCCTCCAGAGTAATATGGACCGCAGGTGTCCTCCCTCCTTTGGTTAAGGTGTAAGAGGTGCCCCGTGACAAGAACACAACGGTATAGCTCCCGCCGTCTGCACTCGCCCTTCACTTCCACTCCTGAACCACTCAGCAGTCTTACTAGGGTAGCATAAGCTGGGCCTGGGAGCTGCCGCCTTCGGAGCTGCGTGGTGCCGGGCATCTCCCCCTCCTGTGGTCTGTGTTCCCAGCCCGGAGGACGTACCCTGTTAACTTCAGGTTCTGCTGGCTGAGTTGGAGCCTGTATGGGAGGAGGAGAGGTTAACTAGAGCACTTCTGCTGCCTTACTGGCTCCAGGGCACAGACCGGAATGGAAGTCAGCCAAGGCGCAAAGCCCGTCTGCTCCAGCGGTTCGTTCAGGAATGGGCTGCTGCAGATGGACAGTTTGGGATGGGAGCGTGTCCCTCTAGGGAGGCCAGAACTAGACGCTTCCATCAGGATTTTGGCTTCCAGAGCAGCAGGGTAGGGATGGACTGTTGTTGGTTCCTGCCCCAGCAGCACTGCATCCCGGGGGGATCTAAGGGGTGCGGCGTGCCCTGCGTGCCACGCACTGGCATTCTTCCTCAAGAAATCCTCCTTGTAATCCTCTCCTCTGTGCTGGTCAGACTCCTGGGGAAGACAGGACAGCAAAAAGGTGCTCAGTTTTGTCCCCGCCTGCCCTCGCAGGGTGAGAGCCAGGAGGCGTGATCCAGCGTGGTCTCCTGACCTTCCCTTGGGGACAGCACCGTCTGTTCCCAGCCCGGAGGCGAGGGGCCCGCTCTTTGGCCCAGCAGCAGGAACGGTTGCCTCCCTTCTGTTGCAGCCCTTTCCCATCCCTTCAGCCTCGTCCCAGCCAGGATCGGGAGCGGGAAGCTCTTGCCTTGGGCAGAGGAGGAGCCTGCTGGGGCTTGTCCTGGGAGGGGAAAGGGCGTTCAGCCAGCTGCGGTTCATCTGAGCCACCTGTGGCTGGGAAGGCTGCCCCCCGCTCCCAGGGAGGGCGGGAGGTGAGCGGCTGGCCCTCGCTATCCTTCCCTACCCGAGGGGAGCTCTCGGTCCCGTGTTGCCTATTAACCATTTGCAATAGATGTAAATATTTACTTCTAATAAACTCTTTGAAAGAGATGCAGAGACGGGTGTGTGGGGAAGCTCTGTGCCGGAGGGGCCGCGGTGCGGGTGGAGGAGAGATGCTGTGAAGAAGCCCTGGGTGCAAGGCAGTCCCTGCCGCGCAGGGACCTGGATCTGCTTTCCGAGGGGAAGTAGCCCCCCATGTTGCAGCAGCACGTCCCAAAGCAGTTTCTGGTCACAGAGCTCAGCCCTGTCTCCTTTCCGCTCCTTCCCAGTGTCTGGAGTGAGTTTGGGAACCAGGAGCTGCTGCAGGGAATGGATGGCTGCAAGCGCTGCGATCCCGTTAGCGTTCCCCGCTGCTCCTTAGGGACTCCTCTCGCACCGAGGACACGGACAGAGCCAGGAAGGATCACCATGGCAAAAAAATTCCAAAAGCAGAGCGAGCCCTGTGGCAATAAATACCAAGCCCTGTGCTTTCACTAAAGGTTATGAATAAAAGAGCGCGTTCCCTGCCCAGGGAGTATACTGGAAGCGGAGCCACTACTAGGGACAACTGACTTCATGTGCTGCTTCTGCTGGTGGGAGTTTTGGAGCTGGTAACCTCGGTGTTAACATCGTCTTGAAGGTACAGCAGCCCAAAGCGTCTCCCCATCTCCAAATGCACCACAAATTCACTCCTATCCCCCAAAGAAATGTTTAATCAGATGCCGTCTGTCAATATTTGCCTGCCCGATTCTCAAACAGGGGGTGGTGCCGAAGGCCGCTGCCGGCGGGTAGGAGGGGTGGGCTGGCGAGAGGCTGCCTCTGCCCCACACAGAGCTATCGGCCGGGCCAAAGCGGCTGCCCGCTGCGGCGTGGACATGAACAACCTCAGGTGAGGGGCACATGCAGGAAGATTTGCCAGTAAACGGGGGCTCCTCCAATACGCAATAATGTCTCTCCGGGAATGGGGCGTGAATTTGGCAGAGGGTTTAAGGACGGGCACCGCCAAAGGGGTATTCGGGGTTACGCGTGGCTGCAGGATTGGGGGTGAGGGAGGAGGGGGAATGAAACGGCCTCGAGTTTTGCTTCTTCCACTTGGCGACGGGGGTCGCAGCCCAGCAGTTTCGGGTGAAAGCGGGGACTGCTCGGAGAGCGGAGACCAGCCCCGGGAATAAAGCGTACGGCAGCTGCGCCAACGGCTGGGCTTTGGCAGGGAGGCTTTATGTTAAGAAGAAGATGTGTTATTTCTCTTTGAAAGGGAAAAGCGGCTGGGTGAAGCGGTGGCCGGGGAGGGGGTGGGGTTTCACCCACGGCCCTGGAAGCCCTGCTCCCACTGTCCCATACGGGAACCGGAGTGCGGGGGTGGGAGAGGCTGGGTTTGCCAGCAAAGGGGGAAGGCGAGTGCTGGGAAGGGGAGGACTCTCTCTTCCAGGACATATTACTGAGAAACTGCTCTGGTATTGCATTTTCTACCTGCAAAGTCCCTCCCGCGCAGCCCTTGCTGAGTGCCTGCAGCCCCTCTGAGGCAGGTTAGTAGCCCTGCGCCCAAGAGCCCGGGGCCCAGCTGAGGATGCGGTGCCCAGACCTTGGCGGTTTGCACAGGAGAGGAGCAGCAGCTCTTGCCTTCTTCCAGAGGCACCGCATGTGCAGGGCTGATTAGGGAAACACCATTTGAAATCCAGAGAAACGAGGGCGATGGGGTCAGAAATGCAGGATCTGAGCCGGAGAGTGTCATAAGGGAGCCTGGCTGTGGTCCCAGCTCTGCTCCCTTGCGGGTCCCTGTTCCTCTCTGATTTCACTGCCTTGGCGTCAGACCCAGGAGCCCTGTGTTGTTCCTCTGCAGCATTGTTCATCTCCCTGTTGCTTTCTGCAAGCTCCTGAGCCAACCTGTTTGGCCAGGTTGATAATTTTCTCTCTGTAGACCTGAGTAGGCTCAGCCTGCTGCTGCCAGGCAGCTGGAAATAACTTCTCTCTCGGCTGGTCTTTCTGTTCCAGAAATATGGTGTTCCTCTGGGGTCCGTTGCTGCTCTGCCTAGCTGCTCTGCACAGCCACCCAAGGGTAAGTCGCTTCGCTCCAGCGATGGTGGGGCCGCCACGGCGTGAGCGCAGCCCTCGCCCTGGCCCGCAAAGGGCACGGGGAGCGAGGGGGCTCTCCTGTGCCGGGCAAATGCCACCGGCGCTTCGGCGCGGGAAGCCCTGGAAGGCAGATGGGTGGAGGACACTGCTGCTCTGCTGTGGGCAGCAAGGTTTCTAATCTTCTTTTTCCCCACTAAAATAGCTGTGGTTATTCTCATTATTCAAGTGGATTTCGGTAGAAAACCTTTGGAAACTTGGCTTCAACTGTATTGAGTGACCATGACCTCCAGGGGTTAACAGGAGGTTGTTTAATAACAGCTTTTTTTCCTCCCGTTTTAAATCTGGATCCCCATCAGATCTGAGATTGCAAAACCGCATTGCTCGCTCTCTAGAGGATACGTCATTTTGTGCCCTTCTGGCCGGGTCCCTTCCTAACCACATCCAGCATCTGCACGCTCCCCCAGCTCCTGCTGCCTCCCCTGCCCTCGGCGGACCCCGCCGCCCGGGTCTGCCTCCGGCCGCCCTGCAGCCAGGCTGTGCCCGCCTCTGGCCCGGCTCGTGGCAACGGGCTGGGAGTGGGAGCAGAGAAGACTGAGACTGGGAATTTAGAGGAAATTATCTGGGACCTGACTTTGTTTCTTTATTGTTTGGGTTTTTTTTCCCCCTACAGTTTTATTCAGCACATGCCATTGAGCAAAAGCGTCTCTTCTTAGACAAAGATGGGGAGCTGAAGGTAAGCGACAACTGGTTCCACCCAAGGGGACTAGAGTTATGCTGTGGTATTTGCAATGGTTTTCCAGTTTGTCCCGAGATAGGATGAGTCCAGGCAGTGCAGTCTATCAGCACCAGTGCAATGAGAAGGTCCATCTTCGTGCCAGCATCCCTCCCTGCCTTGCCCACTGCTGCTGATGCTGTGCTCTCTTGTGCTGGAAGCCCCAGCCTAAATAACTGGGCAGGGTGTGGAGTAAGCAGCAGCAGCTGGTGTGGGCAGGGTCTGGCAGGTGGATTATTTAACTTCTGATTGATAAGGGAAGATGAGGAAAACAACTAGCTATGAGGGTGCTGGGGAGTGAGACCCGTAGCTGATGCTGCCCACCGAGCCGGGCTCTGACAGCGCGGCGCTCCTGCGGCAGAGGATTGTCACCTGGGTGCCGGCGGGAACAGAGAGATCCGAGGAAAAAAGCATGTGTTTAAGACCATGCAAATGTGAGGACAGTAGCAGCAGTGCTATAGGCTAAAGCTCAGAAAACTGGAAAATGACAATTTGGAGAGAAAAGGGGTGGAATAGAACAGACGAGTCAAGGAGAGACAGATGCCTGGGGAGGCGCTGAGCCAAAAGGGATGAAGGCTGCGACAGCAGCAGAGGGTGCTGACCGGTGCGCGAGGCAGATCGGCAGTCCTAACGTACGTGAGAGGAGGTGGTGAAATCAAGGTTGAGGACGAAGGATCTGCAAACGGTGAAGCACAGGACGTGCTGAGCAGGTGGTGGCTCTCGCCCTCGACGCGCGCCTGTTGGGCTCGTTTGCCTGGGCCAGGCCCTCAGAGCCAGTGCGGGAGGAACCGCTGCCCGACCCTCCCTCGGCCCGTTTTCCCAGGATACAAGACCTTCTGCTTTCCATACTCATTGAGGTGCTTTTAACCTCAAGGCTAAAAGGCAAACTGAAGCAAATACACCACCAGAGCAGAGAAGCTGGAGAGTTTTCTCAACCCATTTAGGTGCGCGGTAAAAGCCACGAGGGAAGGCAGCGCCGTGCTCCTGCTTTCCCAGTGCTATCCCTCTCGTTTCTCCCCAGGACGTGAAAAGCGCTGGAGTCGCAGAGTCTGCTGCGCTGGGAGCCATCCCGACCCTGCCGAATGCAGACCTGGCAGACTTTACCTACGACAGCTTCCAGGAGATTGACAGACCCACGTTGCCTTTCACCACCACCCCGCCAGGCACGAGGAACGACTGGAACCCAGAAGATGAAGCCGTAGCTGGGGCTGTGGGCTGTCATGAACAGCAACCATCTGGGGAAATCGCCTCTTCTGAAGAGGAAGGAGAGGCTGAAGATAAAAGCTGTGAGATGACTTGGAAGAAGAGCCAGAGGCTAGCAGATGGCTTGATGAGGTTCAGCATCAGTCTCCTGAAAGAGGTCCAGCTGGAGTCCAACAGAAGCAACGTGATCCTGTCACCCCTCAGCATCGCCCTCGCCTTGTCTCACCTGGCACTGGGTAACTTCTTAGTTACAAAAGCACCGTCCCCTGCCCTTCCCCGTGCCCGCTCCTGGAGGCACTAGGAACCAATGTGCAAAATGCCAAGATTAAATGCGGCACCTTCCACCTCACCTTGCTCCTGCAGCTTCCATTAGGCACGATTGCAATCGAAGCTGCCCTTCGTGGCCCTGCTGAGGCTCCTGCTCTCGGGTTTCTCCAGCCTCTTTTGTAAGGCACACAGTATGTTTCTACCAGGAGGCAGATAGAGCAACGTCCCTGTTTTCCATGACGTGGGCATGACCTAACAGGAATTTGGCTTTGTTTTTTAGGAGCAGCAAATCAGACGGAGAAGCGTTTGCTGGAGGCGATGCATCTGGAGTCGGTGCCCTGCCTCCACCAGACGCTGGGCACCCTTCGCAGAGGGCTCGCAGAATCCACCCTGAGCCTTGCATCGCGTCTGTACCTGCAGAAGGGTGAGAGCTGGCCCGGGGGGTCCGTCCTGGTGTAGAATAGAACTCTCGGTGACAGAGAGTGATGGAAGCACGTTGCCACGCTGGGAGACGCCTGTTTCCCTAAGCACCCCTCCTGGGGAGCGTCATGCCACTGGCTGAGCCACTCAGCAAATTTTTTTCAGTGCCTGGTGACTTCATGTAGAATTCTTCCCCTCTGCCAGGATTTGAGGTGAAAGAGAAGTTCCTGGAGGATTCGGAGAAATTCTACGGAGCAAAGCCCATGACCCTTTCTGGGATGAGTGAGGATGACCTGGTAGCCATAAACAAGTGGGTAAAGGAAGCAACTAATGGGCAAATACCCACCTTCCTACAGCAGCTCCCTGAGAACACAGTGATGCTCCTGCTCAATGCAATCCATTTCCACGGTGAGCTCCACAGGCCTTACTTTTCAAGAGGAATCGTTAGAAATCTCCTGGTTTTCTGCAAGCGCTGTAGCTGAATGGCATCTCCTTTCGTTGCTTCCTGCTAGTCAATCTGCTTGTTCTTTTCTTGTACATCTGCTGTTCCTCTTGCTTAGATTTCTTTACAGTAATGATTCCCAACTGCTTCACATGTGCTAAAAATGTCACTTGACAGCAGAGCCAGAATGCAGCAGGTGGAACCTGCAGTATCTTTGCCTCCTGGTTCAGGATCCCGCACGGCGGCACCTCACCGCTCATCCTCACCAGGTCAGACGCCGCTCACTGCAGGCCGAGCCCGGCGGCGGCTCCTGTGGATTTCTTTCTGACTACAGCACGGTGGTCAGGCACATCTCCCGCATTTAATTCCCTGAGGGCTGTGCAGCGAAACCAAACACTCGCTTCCAGTGTAAACCTGCAGATGTTTTAGCTTGGTCTTGGAGCACTGTTTCACTCTACGCAGCACAAAGGCAACACTCTTCACGTTTCAAAGTGCAAACATCCATTACTTTATCTTCATAGCCTTCAGTAATCTCCCGCGCTGAGGCATGAGGATTAATCCTCGCTCCTTTTGTTATTCCAGAGTCCCTCTCTGGAAGATAAGAGCTTCCTGCTGCTAGGGCTCCTCCAGCCTCGGTACCGGCTTCTCTTCGCTGTGTTTCTGCTGGCCTGGTTGCTATCTGCCTTGTTGGAGAACTCGTGACAGGAGGAGTGTCAGCTGGGCCGTTTCTGTTTTCCCACCCAAATTTAACTTTGTTGCTTTCTAAACTTTTATTTTGATAGGGTTTTGGAGGAATAAGTTTGATGCTAGCTTCACTGGGCCAGATGTATTCCACCTTGACAATGAGTTCATGGTCCCAGTTGAGATGATGAAAGCCCAGAAGTACTCCCTGAGCTGGTTTACGCTGGAGTCCCAGGACATTCAGGTAGGGCTCTATTAGGAGCACTACACGTTTTGATTGGAATTCCCTCTTGCTGTGGTATTTTACTGACTGCAAGTGTTCTCTCCAAAAACCAAATGTCTTTTAACAGGCATACCACACAAAAATTTAATAAGCATCCTTTGTCCTTGCTTCTAACAAGGATGTTGAGTCTTCACTCTCAGTCCCTAGGAACCACAAACAGCTATTCCCACTAAGTGGGAATTAATGGAGTTTTAAAGCCCCGAGTTAAAGATAAACGAGGAAACACGGAAGGGAGTTCCCTCAGCCAAGGTACCGTTGGAGGCCTTCAGAAGACAGCTGCTGCCAGAGTGGGTACAGCGCTTGCGCATGTGGGCTTCTACTCTGCCATGTGTTCAAGCTTCACCAGTCAGTGGCTAAATACTAAAATCTAATGCTGTTATTCCAACAAACTTTCTCCTCCGAAGAAATGAGCTACCTCCTTCCCACCAGGCTGTTTTCCTCCGATGGCTAGCCTGGCTCCGTAGACCAACTAGAAAAAGACTAAATTAAAAGCATCGCTTTCTGGACTTCTCTTCCTCTTCCATAAATTCTTCTGGTTGGTTTTATTTCCAGGTGGCCAGGTTTCCCTTTAAGAGTAACACGAGTTTTGTGGTCATTGTACCAAACCAGTACACTTGGAATACCTCTCACGTGCTGGAGACCTTCCCTTATCAACAGCTGTGCAGGCTTTTCCCCAAAGAGGTACCCACCACAGTGAAGATCCCCAAAATAAAATTGGACTACCAGCTGGAACTCAACAAGGTTCTCAGTCAAATGGGTAAGGCCTCCAGCAGGATTTGCACAGAATAAGTGGAGCTGATCAATCAATATGGCATCTGTTCGCTGACACTAAAAGCTGCCATCCTTGTTTCTAAAGCTGTGCCTCACAGCTTGCTCCAGATAACGTCCAAACGCTTTCATCTCTTATTCCTCTCCTCCTCCTTACTCTTTGCTTGCCTAGCACCAAATGTTTTGCTCCAACAAGATGATACTATAGAGAAGGCAGCATTCACAGCTCCTCACAGTCTTTACGAGTTCTTCCTATCCCCTATTTGTAGCCAAGACCAGCTTCCGTGCGTCAGCCTTCACCTCGTTGTCATTTAACATAGCGTCCAGGACACAGAAATTGCCAAAAGAGAGAATGCAGATCACAGAACCTGGATCTGAGAGCTTGCTGAAACAGAACACCATGCGCTGCATTTCCAGATGGGGATAAATTAAGAGTTTGCTTTGTTTTGCAGAATTGCTTAAAAAAATAATCTCTGTAAAAGTGTTTCCAGCCTAGCAAGAAAGAGCCTTCAGACTTGCTGCTGCTTTTTAGGGAAGGCTTGAAGTTCTTACACTGCTATTCTAAAAGAGGTGGACAAAGCTTGTGAAGGCCGTTCTGGTGTTGGCACCCCCAGCTCTTCGTACAGAGAGGGACCAGGGAACCTGGCTGGACTGCAGCTTTTGCTTCTGTTGCCTGCCAGTTCTCCATGGTGGACAACGCATGTAGCAACAGACTAGGGAAGTGCTCTCTTCGGACAGCTTTGAGAAAAATCAGAGCTGGTGGCACCAACTGGGAAAGGTTAACTCCGTCTCCTTTCTCTGTAGGCCTCCAGGAGCTGTTCACAAGCCCGAACCTCCAGAAGATCGCAGATGAGCCTCTCTTCGTATCCAGTATACAGCATCAATCTACCCTGGAGCTTAAAGAAGATGGGATGGAAGCATCTGCTGCTACCAGCGTCGCGATTTCACGGTCGGTCTCTGCCTTCAGCCTTGACCGGCCTTTTGTCTTCCTTATCTTTGAAGACGAAACAGGCATCCCACTTTTTATAGGCAATGTCCAGAACCCTAACCCCAATGCCGCTCCCCAGATAAAAGAGCCACAGGACTCGCGTGAAGCAACAGATTCCAATGAGTACCCCATGCCCAAATAGGAGAGGAGCAGAGCCTGAGCGTTCTGGGACTGCTACCTGACCCTTTGGACCAGCTAGGAGAGGCCTCCTGTCCTTGGCGGCCTCCCTCTGAGGCCACAGGAGGCAATCCCTTGCTGTTTTCCTTTACAGATCCCTAGAGACCAGTCCTGGGATAGCCCATCCCAGCCTTGACGAGCTTCTCCAGGCTGGGGTTCCCCTCTGTTGAACCTGAAAAGCTTGCTCTGCCTGGATTTCCCTTCCAGGGCTCTCAGTCCTGGAAGGGAGACTTCCTTGTCCCCAGACTCCTAATAAGAGTCTTTATTAAGCTCTTATTAGAGTCCCCTATAGCCTGGAATCATCATTAGCATCTGGCAGCTTGGACAACAGCCAGAGATATTAATGCGGCTCTTCCTTCCGCAGTTCCTGTGAACATGTCTCCCTCAAACTGTTCCTCCGAAAACCGTCTGTACCCACCTAGAAAACAACCTCTAGACCAACTGGGCTAGCACCCAGTTGCCTTCGCTAGGATGCGTCACAGCCATTTCCAGGCACGGGCTCGTTTCAAAGATTCCCTTTTCCCACTCCTTGGCTATGGGGATCTGATGTGGGAGGGTCTGCAGTGGGAAACCCCTTTGGGTCCTTATTTCCAGCCCTTTTCCTGGGAAACTCTAGGTTCTTGGGTAATGCTAGATTTTTTGAGACATATTTTATAAAGTGTTTTTTAGTAATTTTTATGTTGGCAGAATAATAAAGAGTAAAGCAGAATATATTTGCTTAAGGTGTTGCACTGAAAGACCCAACTGAGAAAGGAAAAAGGCACGCAACTTGAATAATTGCAAAGATGGGGAGGAAAAAAGTCTGGGCGCGACAGATGGAAAGACAGGAGGGGCTCTTGCAAAGGATCTGCTTTCTGCTGCGCCCCATCGCAGGGGACAACAGGGGCTGGGAGGTGAAAGGGCCGATCTGTAAAGACTGCCCACGGGCCGGGTCCACCGAGCTCTGGGCATCTCGCCTGCCGCGCGTGCGGGGAACGCTGACCGGGGCAGAGCCGGCTTCGTGGGGGCAGAGTTCCTTGAGTCAGGGCAGGAGCTCTGTGGCACAGGGACAGGAGGGTATCATCTTGCTGTGAGCAGCAATGCAGTGACGAGGCAGTCCTTAACCTTTCTCTTGGGCAACACCTGACCGTTCCTGGTACCTACCGGGAGGTTCAACGGTGCTGAGCTGGCACCTGCTATCTGCAATGTCTTCTTCTACTGGGATACGCCTGTCCCCACAGCACCATGCTATGGGTGGTTGGGACAGCTTCCAGGGGAGGGAGGGGCGGATTTTGACGCCTGTAGCTGAATGCTGCTGCTTTTGCCCTGTTTTGGCCAAAGGTAATGTCCCGCTACGGCTTCGCTTTTGTCCGAGATGGGCACAGCTCCCTGGGTCCTGGTTCCGAGGTAGCAATGCATGTCCGAAATTAGCTACCATGAAAGAATTCTTGGGAACCCTCCACCCACCCAAGCCATCCTGCCACTTAGAAATGTTAGTCTAACTCACCGTAGCCTGCCACGCTGCGGCTATTTCTGTACAAAACAACTGCTGTCCATAGGAGATTCTGCTTCCGAGCTCCCTCAGCTTCTGGGTGAAAAGGATGGTGCTCTGTTTTTGCGAAATAGCAGTTACAGCGCGCGAGGGCCATCCTTCTGGCAGCGGTTTCCTCGCTCGGGAAGCCTGCCTTCCCTCAAAGGAAGGAGCAGAGTGCTTCTGGGAGCCTCCGTCCCTGAATAGTCTGCACCATCTGCTGGAATAAGAGAAGGACTGACTCACTAACCATGAATTTGGGGGATTCAGGAGACTTGGGGAATAAAGAGTCCTGGCTGAAACCTGCAATTACACATTTCTCGCAGTCTAAAAGGGGAAGAACGGCTAAAGATAATGTCTACCCCTCTAACCAATGCAATGACACGTACCCTTCAAAAAGAGCGTGTAATTATGGGGCCATATAATTTTAACAAGTAAACCCAAAAGAACTCAGCCCTACTATGAGGGCATAGCTCTAGCCCACAGGGAACATTTTAGCTTATTTATTTATACAGATTCGTTTCTAACATTCAGAAATACCACCCCATGCCCTCGGGGAGCCCGCTTTGGCTACCGCGGCCTCGCTGCCAACCTCCCTGGGTTCCACCCCGCTGCGCTGCAACCTGAGCACAGTCCGAAGTGCAAGTCCTCCTTTTCGCGCCTCTGCCCTCCAGCTCCCCCTCTCCTACGAAGCTTTTCCCCCTCATTCTCAGTTTCCTGAACAGCTTGGCTCTTATTTCCTATTTTCCGCCTTCCTGCCCTCCCTCCTCCTCCAAGCTATTCTTGTCAAACTACTAATTTCATCTTATTTGACAGTACAGCAGCCCTCCATGTCTGTGCTTTGCTCAACAAATTATCAGCTACACCAACCTGAAGACTCTTTTTCGCTCCACCGACTCTCCAGAAGAGGCAGTTTGTAAAATGCAAAGTAATATTAATGTGTCCGCTCAGGAATTTCCCCTTTGCATTGCTAAGCCTTCATTTTGACCGAGCTCTATTCTGAAAAGACACGACTAGCACGGGGCGTCTGCTCTACAGCTCAGCTGCGCCACTGGCTGAGAATATCAAATGTATCTCACTAATATTAGATGCATTTTTTCCTTACTAGAGCGAATTCATACGAACATGATCAGTACTTCCACAGCAGAGGTGAACGCTGCTCAGACAGCACATTGCCTG